ATATATGTATTTCTAAGAGACAGGGCCTTGATATGTTGCCCATTCTGATCTTGAACTCCTGGCTAAAGCAATCTGCCTGCCTCAGCCTCTTGAATCACTGGAACTATAGGTGCATGCCACCATGCCCAGTTGCATTCATATTTTTAAAAATTGCTCCTTGGCAAGACTCTTTTACAAAAACAAACAGACAAGGAAACACAAGAAAGAAAAAAAGCCTGATGTGGTGTTGCACACCTGTAATCCGAGCACTCAGGAGGCTGAGTCAGGAGGATTGCCACGAGTTTGAGGCCAGCCTGGGCTACATAGTGAGCTCTAGGCCAGCCTGAACTTTATGGCAAGACTCTGTCCCAAAAACAAATTTAAAAATTTTTTTAAATGACTGCAGATGTTTATGACATAGAGCTAAATTTGAGACCATGCTTGCTTAAGTTCAGGTTATATGAACACTCTGCAGAAGTACTTAATGTTCTACAGCCTTTTCTTTCCTCCTCCTCCTCCTCCCCCCTCCTCACCCCCCCTCCTCTTCTTTCTTCTTCTTTTCTTTTCTTTTTTCTTCTTGTAGTACTAAGGATTGAGCCTAGGGCCTTGACGCTGAGCTGTGTCCCCAGCCCATTTTTATTTTTTATTTTGAGACAGGGCCTTAACTAAATCACCAAATTGTCTAGACTGGGTTTGAATTTACCATCCTCCTGCCTCAGACAGGTGTGTGCCACCATACTTAGCTTCTGTAGCCTTTCTTGTGGACAAAAAAGCATATTTCTTCATGTTATTTTCTTGTTTTAGTAGAACAACAGGACAGTACCCAAAATGACAGGATTTACCCATGTGCTCTGACTTATAATAGTGGAAATAGGAACAATTCCATGTAAAAATAGTGGTTCCCAAAAGCTTCATCTTGTATTCTGAGGTTCTCCAGTGTGCTAGTGAATGATCTGTGTACATAATAACACCCTGACTTGGAGGCATAGGGTGAGAATGACCACATTTCTTTGTGGCCCACAGGTTGACTTTCAAACTGTGCCACCTGTACTGGAACTGGCCTGGTACCATCCGAGTCCCAGCCCCTTGCAAGTATGCCCACAAGCTTGCTTTCCTGTCAGGACAGATCTTGCATCATGAGCCATCCATCCAGCTGTGTGAGAACTTGTTCTTCTTGTGATTGTGTAGCTTGGACCTAGGCTGGCGAGGAGAAATTAGACTTCTCATCTCAGCTGTGAGGAACCAGCAGACTCAGAAGTGGGTTTTTGTGTTGGTGTTTTCCATTTCTCCTACCTTTAGAGTAAAATTTCTTTTTTTCTTTTAAACCTGGTATCACCAAAAAGCAGGCTTTTAAGTACCAGCTGGAAATTGCCTTGATGCCTCTGTAGAGCAAACGGCTGTTCCTGTGAGAGCATGGTCAGGCCTGTTAACTACTGGGAACCCTGCAAGGGCAGGGAGTATAGCTCAGTGGTACAGTGTACCTAGCATTCCCGGAGCCCTACATTCAATTCCCAGCATCAAAAAGAAAAAACAACAACAAAAACAAAACCCCTCCAAAGCCAACATGAGCTGTAGAAACCTGCAGAAGCAGCAATTATACCTAGAGATGGTGTTTAAGAAGTGCTTCTCGTTTCTGGTGCCAGAGGTGATAATGAATGAAGTCACTGCATGTTTCTTAAAGTAGTTATTTATTTGGGCTATTGGGACAGGCGAAAGAGAAACCTGTGAAGCAGATTTTTATAGGTATTGCTGTTGCTGGCAGGAGTGAAAGGCATGTGGTAAAACCAAACGTGGCACGGTCGGGCCCTTGCTGCCATAATCTTCCCTGGGGGTTGTGTTTATGACTCCTATGATGTGAGTTGGGTGCCTCACAGCTATTCCTGGGCTTTCTTTTGAGAGAGTTCAGTTGAAGTTTTTTCTATACCTTTCAGTTACTTTAAAAATACCATATTGCTTTCTTGCTTCCCACAACATACCCACATGCACACACATACACCTTTGCTCTTTATGACTGATCTTCAGTAAGTTTCGACTTTTAAAACAACAAAACTGGGGGAAGAATTCAGCTAGGAAAGTTCAGGATGGGGTGTGAGTTTTTATTGAACCTTCCTCCCAGAAGCCTGGGCTTCATTTTTGCATGTGTGTCTGAGTGTAATGGGAATACTCGTTTCTCTTGCACAAGAGCCTTTTCTGTGGGCTCACTTGCTCAGGATTTTTTAGAATTCCAGTGAAGATTTATAGAAGTCGGTTTGGAAAATGGGACACTCTTAGCAAGGTCCAGACATTACTGTTTTGGAAGTTGTCACCCTTCCTGCGCATTTCAGAGTTTGTCTGATGCAGTGGTTTTCTGTGTGTATTTTTTTCCGTCATTATTTTAAAATCAACCTATCCTTTCAGCTCAGTTCTATCATATCTTGCTTTACTAGGTTTTAAAACATGGTTTTATTCCTTTGAATTTGTATTTTCTAACTATTATGTTCATTCGTTTATTTACTGGTATGATGGAAAGGAGAGGACAGGGCAGAAATACCATTTTTACATAACAGTGCATGAGACTACTTCACCTTAAAGCTCCTTAGAAGCAGTGGGGGTGGGTGTGCAGCTCAGTGGAAGAGCACTTACCTAGCATGGCCATCCCCAGCACTGCCGAGGAAAACAGAAAGAGACCAGAGAGCTTTTAGTTTGTGGCATCATCCAGAGTATGGAAAAGGATGAGCACTGATGGTCCTTAAGTGCACTTCTGGTTTTATTTGGAGCCCCTGACATAGGGGGACACTAAACTTAGAATGTCAGAGCCACAGAATCAAGCAGATTGAACCATTGGTCTCTGGCTGAAAAGATCACTTTCCCAATTTTCTTTGGAAGCATTTTGAATTTCTCTCTCTCCATTTTTTTTTTTTTTTTTTGGTACTGGGGATTGAACTCAGGACATTGCACTTGCGAGGCAGATGGCGGTACCACTGAGCTAAATCTCCAGCCCTTGAATTTCTCTTTTGAAGTTGGATTTCTAAATGTTCTTCTCTTTAGACAATGAACAAATACTTGAATATAAAACCAAAATATCTTTACTTTTTATTCCTGGTGTTCTTCCTTTGTTTTTCAGTTTTAATAGAAATGATTGGTTCATGGGTTGGAAATAAAAACAGATTTGTATAAATGTGAGTTGTGTTTGAAATAGTATCATGTATTATATGAAAACTTTTTTTCTTTCAAATATCTGCACATTTAGAATTACTCATTTATTCTGTATGCAAGGTATAGCATGAGTGTTAGTAAACAGGTATTTTCACTCTGAGCTAAGCTGGAAAATTTATTGGAAAAGATAACTAGAAATCTCACTTCTGGACAAATGAGGCACTCATTTTTCGTGATTATTAGTGTTTGTCTTGAGTTAGATCTCTTTTCCTATCAGTTTCTGTTAGCTCAAGAGAATCAGAGAGTCATCTTCCAAGGCCTCCTCCTCACCCTTTATTAATGCTTGTCCTTCTTTATATATGCTCTGTACTAGTGGTCTGTAACCCCTAGAAACACTGTTCCAACATTCCCAGGCTGCTCATTTCAACACTGCCCCCTTTAAAACACCACATTTTTTCCAGTTTATTTAGAAATTCCATTTTCAAATGATGCAGTGCTTCTTGAACTCATTCTAGAAAGAATCTAATCTTTATATAGTATGTTACAGGGCCCTCTTTTACTTGAGCAGCATTTTGTTAGATGATGTGCAAAAGGAAGGAGTTTTAGAAATGTTTAGCCCTTTATATTGAAAACCTTAAAAGGTTTGGGGCCTGAATTTTTTTCTTGCCCAGATTTTCTTTGTCTTTCCAAAAAATAAGGAAAATTAAGAGAAAGAGAAAAACAAACCACAGATTTGGAGGATGTACTTGCAAAAACACATATCTGATAAACTACTCTTATCCAAAGTACACCAAGAACTCTTAAAAATATAGTAAGAGGCTGGGAGTGTAGCTCAGTGCTAAAGTACATTCTTAGCATGTACAAGACCCTGGGTTCAAACCACAGTACAAACAACAACAACAACAAAAACATAAAAACACAAATTTAATAAGAAAACTAAAAACTTAACTAAAAAATGGTCAAGAAACCTGAGCAGACACATCACAGAGAAGGCATATGAATAGCAAATGGCCATATAAAAAGCTGCTCAGCATCTCCTGTCCTGGGGGAAACACAAATGAAAACAGATTCCACTGCGTGCTTGTTACTTTTGGCAAAGGCCAAACACCAAAATGCCAGATGGTGTTGAGGATGTGGAGCAAAGACAGCTTTTACTTACCGCTTGTGGGAACGTAAAATGGTACAGCCATTGTGGAATACAGTTTGGCAGCTAATAAAATGTGAGCCTTGGTTGAAGGTATAACTCGGTGGTAAGAGCATATGTTTAGCATGTGTGAAGCACTAGGTTCAATCCTCAGCACCAAGACAACCAACCCAACAATGTTACCGTACGATTCAGCAGCCACACCCCTTGGCATTTACCCAAAGGAAGTGAAAGCAACATCTACACACAAACCTGCACACAGATATTTATAACAGCTTTACTCATAATTGCAAAACTTAGATGCAATAAGATGTGTTTCAGTAGCTGAGTGGATAAATAACCTGTCAGGCACCCATTCACTGAGATTTTATTCAGTGCTAAAAAGAAATGAGTTATGAACTCATGAAAAGACATAGAGGAGCTTGAAATGCAAATTACTAAGTAAAAGAAGCCAATCTGAAAAGGCTGCATAATTTATGATTCCAAGATAAGACATTTTGGAAAAGGCAAAACTATGGACACAATAAGGACCAGAGGCTGGGGAGATGGGGCTGAACAGGTAGATCATAGAGGATTTTTAGGGCAGTGAAACTTTTGACTATAATGCTGTAACCATGGATGTGTGTCATGACTATCAAAACCCAGTGTCCAATACCAGGTGTCACCCCAAGTATAAACTGTGGATAATAATGCATCCATTTAGCATCATCAGCTGTCACGCGGATGGGAACACTGGTGGGCGATGTCGATAGTAGGGAAGGCCAAGGGTATATGAGAGACTTCTGTACCAGTGATAGTGAACCTTTTAGAGGCAAGTAGCCAAAACCCAAGTACCAACACTGCAATTAAACCTGAATACTGAGGTTTTAGTTATATTTAGTCCCATATATATATATATATATTTAGTCCCATATATATATATATATACCCAGGCTGGTCTTGAACTCAACCATTCCTCCCGAGTGCTGGGGTTACACCTGAAGGAAACAGTATTTGAACAGGGATATGGATAGGGATAGATAAAAGGGAAGTGACGAAAAATTCCCAAGCTAGGACCCACAAACAGGTGTATGTAGTCCAAATTTTCATAGTTGGTGTGCTGAAAGCTCAAGCTGGAAAAATAGCACAGAATTCATCCAGGTGGGTGGAAGACCTGAGCCCAGCAGAAACCAAGGCAGCCAATTGAACTGCAGCACAGAGAGGTAAAAACAGGAGGGAGAAAGTGGAAGAGGTGGTGGTACCTGCCTGTAATCTCAGCATTCTGGAGGCAGGCGGGAGGACAGCTGTGAGTTTGAGGCCAGCCTGACCCTGTCTTTAAGAAAAGGGGGGGAGCCCCATACCAAAAGAAGGCTGAGGGCAACTGTCAACTTGGGAGTTGTGTCCCCAGCCAAGCATTCATTCAGCAGTGAGGATAAAAATATTTTTATTTTTTATTTTGTTCAGAACTAGGGCTTGAACCTAAAGCCTTCACACTGAGCTACATTCCCTTCCTACCCCCTCCTCATTTTACTTTGAGATAGGATTTTCCTAAATTTCCCAGGCTGAGCTCAAACTCACTATCCTGCCTTAGCTTCTATAGTGCTGAAATTATAAGCATGCACCACCATACCCATCTCTGATTTTTATTTTTAAAATATTATTATTTAGCCAAGCATGATGGTGCATGCCTACAATCCCAGCATTCTGGGAGGCTGAGGCAGGACAATCACAAGTTTGAGACCAGCCTGGGCTACCTAATGTGTTCAAGGCCAACCTGCACTACATAATGAGAACTTGTCTCATAAACAAAAACAAAAAAAGATCAAAGCAGAAACTAATTAAAGAGTTGTCCATTTATGGAACCAGGCATGGTGGCACATCCCAGAATTGGGAGGCAGAGGAAGGAGAATTACAAATTCAACACCAGCTTGGGCTACATAGTGAGTTCAAGGCCAGCCTGAACTACATAGTGAAAATCTGTTTCAACAACAACAACAAAAACTATGAATGAAAAACTAGAGAAAAAAAATTTAAAAGTAAACTAGTTCTTTGAAAAGATTAACAAAATGAGTAGACTTTTAGCTCTATTTGTTCAGAAAAAAAGAAGGCTCAAATTACCACGATGGCAAGAGTGGGGTGAGGATTGTTTGATTTACTGTGAGCAAGTTGCTAGTGAGTTGCTTTTTTTCTGCACACCCATGAGACTGTTACAGAACTGATTCGCACAGAGGCTTCTCATGATGTTCTAACCCTCCAACTGACTGTAGAGTGCTGGCACACAAGTCCTAGGATCTGATTTTGCATTAAAGAGGACCTTCACATTCCTTCTGATTCTCTTAAATTTGTTATGCTGTGCCAAAACAGAAAATTCATTGTTTTTCCCCAAGAAAGTACCAAAGAAACCTGGTGGCCGATCTAATAAGGTGTAATAAATCTATTGGTCTGGAGCAGCCCACCTTGACCTTGAGCTGAGCTAGGGCTGGCAGAGGACGGCTTCTGGCTTATCCTACTGTGTGTGTGTGTGTGTGTGTGCTGGCTTCTTTTGAAAACCTTTTGGCAGAGGTAGGTGTGGTCTCTGGTCAGAAGGGAAACAGTGACAAAGGAAATGTCAGATTTTTGTGCTCATTTCCCTTACATATTGCCCAACATCAGGCCTTTAGTGAGCGGGCCAGTTCATTCATCCAACACACATTCATTGAGAATTGTGTTATGTGCAAGATGTTACCTTTGGGGATACAGCCACATTTGGAAACCTTTTGCAATCATGAGAGATTAAGATCTAATAAGGTTAGAGACAGCAAGGAAATATTTTGAAGGAAAAAAATATGTACTATATACCATATTCATTCTGTAAATCACAACCCAATAATGAAAATAAAATCAATGTAGTGACTTTATCTTTTGCCATTACTTTAAAAAATGGAATTATAAACCGGGCGTGGTGGCACATTCCTGTAATCCCAGCACTCGGGAGGCTGAGGCAGGAGGATCGCTGTGAGTTCGAGACCAGCCTGAGCTACATAGTTCCTGGTCAGTCTCAACTACATAGACCCTGTCTCAAAAAAACAAATAAATAAATAAAATAAAATAAATTTTAAAAAATGGAATTATAAACATTACATTGTATAGTTGTGTATTCCGGCATTAGGGCTCTTTTTGAGGTGCTGGGGATCAAAACCAGGGCCCCTCATCTTCTAAATAAGTACTCTACCACTGGGCTATACTCCCAGCCCCCATTTTGTGAAATTTCTCCTAACTATATTATTTTTTTACTCACACTGTGGTATTGATCTACTACTACTACTATTACTATTTTCTTTGTTTTGGGGGAACAGCATCTCACTATGTAGTTCTGCTGGCCTTGAACTGACTCTCTGGCCCAGGCTGGCCTCAAACCTTCAGCAGTCTTCCTACCTCAGCCTCCAGAGTGCTGGGATTATGATGCACAGTGTAGTAATGTTTTTAAATGGGAGCCAGACATGGTGATGTATGCTTGTAATTCCAACACTCTGGGAAGCTGAGGGAGGAGGATTCCAAGTTCAAACCCAGCCTGGGCAACTTAGTGAGACACTGTCAAAATAAAAAAGGGGTACTACGAAGGTCCTGGATTTGATCCCCAGCAACACACACACACACACACACACACACACACACACACACACA